AAAAAAAGTTGAGATTTAGGAACAGTGTGATTGGAAGAACACTGATAGAAGTTCTTGTAAAGCAGACGATATGTGTTTCATTTGATAGCACCCCAGATAGAGTTTATGGTGCATTGGTGAGAACTGCAACACTTTTCCGTTCTAAGTCTAAACAACTTGACACACACACACACACACACAACACACACACACACACAGACACACACACACACACACCACACACCCACACTATCTAACTTATCACCCTGAATCCACTACACACCCTACTACACAGACACAGCACAACCACATCACAGCGTATCTATCTAGCACAACACCACACAATACACTATCACACCAGTACAGGCGAGCGACGCACGAGCACGAGAGCGAGCGAGAGCGAGCACACACGAGGGCCATACCATCTATCACACTACACTCTACATCTACATCACTACATCACACAACCACGACAGCACAACACGACCACCTATCTGCGAGCGCGACAGACGCGCAGCGCGACACAACTGCGAGCAGACTTAGAGGAAGTTACAGTAGGCTTGACAAGAGAGACCGTAGCGTCTGAGAGCAATATTCGGCAACAACTCAGCTTTCTATCATGCGACATCCTGTGTAATATTACATTTGAAAACTACAGACGACACACATACACATAACAACTACACACACACACACACACACACACATCAGCATCACACACACACACACATCACAAACACTCACACACACACACAGCAGCACACCACATCATCACCATCGACATCTAGCACACAGCTTCTAGTATCATCTATCACTACACACACTTCGACTAACACGACTACTAAGCTGAGCACGTGACTACATCGAGTCACACACGAGCGAGCAGCACTACTACAACACACATCATGCGACACTACATCTATCACTACACACATACATCAACACCAGCGTACACAGTATGCTATCGACACCCTCGAGCAGAACTTTCAAAAGGCTCCATCGGCCCTCAGCACACACACCTAGCACCACTATTCTCTCTACCACACCACACACCACACACCGCCACATCACACACCACACAGCTAGCAACAGCAGTCGACGACACATCCACTACAGTCAGCACGACATGCATCACCATCACTACCCATGGACAGCAGTCACACGACACACACACACACACACACACACACACCTCACTACGAGAACTTCGAGCAACGACCCCACACTATCAGCGGACTGGACCTCAGATGAGGGTACTTTACACATACATCCCACACACACACATCCCAACACAACACACACGACTATCACACACACACACACATCGACACACACACACACACACACACAGCACACACAACAGCGACACTATCCACAACACACACCACCATCTATCATACATCACACACACATTCTACAGCATCTATCACTATATCACTACAACATCTAGTTTTTAGCGTAAAACCAGCACTGACGACACATATCACACACACAGCACACACATCGACACAGCTACACACTATCGTACACACAACCCACACACTAACAACACATCACTCTACTACTATCACAACGATCACACACACACACACACACACACACACACACACACACACACAACACACACCACTTCTGACCAACACACAATAGATAAAAGATGTAGCTGACGGAGAGTTTGTTTATTTTGTGTTACTTTATACTTAATCTCCCTTATATTTGACCTTTAATCCACTTATTTTCCACTTATTTGACAGCTTTTATAGTTGTTACTTTTTTTTTCTTTCCTGAGATCTTTAGATAATGAAAAAGACAATTCAATGACAGTAAAAATATCCAGCAGCAAAATAAAAGTATATTCAATTAGCTCCAACTATACCAGCTATTATTAAAGGGGACCTTCATGCAAAATGCACTTTTTGATGTCTTTCATACATAAAGAGTGTCCCAGTGTGTCAGGGGACTCACGCAGCGTCAGAAAATAAACCCTCTCTCTTTTCTCCGTACCCAAAACTCTAAAAACGGGGCTACCACGGAGCATGATCCAGATTTGCGTCCGATTTGACGTAATATCTGAAATGTGACCCGCGGCCCTATCAGAAACGTTTCTATCAGAACAATGCCCGACTGTTTTGGACGTAATATGGGTCCGGTGATGTCACATTAGCATCGCTAACAACTCAGAGCTAACCTGTACTGGAGAGCATGTGTGTGAAGAGCAGGAAATAAAAAGGAACTCACCTTGTGGTATAACGGCAGAGAGAAAGCCTTGAGTCCATACTGTTTCGGAGATAATCCTTGATAATCCATGATATGGTGTTTTCATCACGGCAGTATTTATATTAGTTTAGACAGTGCTGCCCGGTCTCGCATGAGCTCAGCCCCCAACTTTTTTATTTGTTATCAAATCTTTATTTTTTTTAACTTATTAACCCAAATCAGCACTTTTGAAACAGGAAGTGAAATAGAGGGATATGAGGCATGGCTAGAATGGGTGATCTGTTTGGTATTTTGAGCAAAACACTTCATAGACATGTTTTTTATATATTTCTATATATCTGAGACCTATGCTATTGCCTAAAAATAGCATGATAGGTGACCTTTAATAAGTAGTTTGATAGATATCATTCTAAAATGGGCCATAAAGCATAACAGACCTTTTTATTTGTAAATTAATCATACTACTTAATATATGTGTACATTTACTTTAGTAAGATTTTAAAATGCAGGGCTTTTACCTGTCAGAGTATTTTCTTATACAGTACATACCATAAATAATCATTACTATAATCATTCTGTTTTCTGTCCCGTCACAGCCACCTGGTCCGTAACAAAACTGATCTACGTCACCATCAGTGTGTTTGTGACCACAGTCGTCCTCGCACTCTACTTCAGCATACCAGCTTGCCAAAGGTACTTTATTTATTTCAAGAAAGTTCACGTCTAAAAACATTGAAATATAAAGCTTAAGCCCTCATTACCTTGTACTTACAAATGTTCCCATTAAGGAAATATATATCTTTGTAAGACGTCAAAGTAGCAGACTGATCCACTTAAAAGGCTTAATTTACTGGCAAAGAAAATGTTTGAATAAATCACAATTATTATTATTTCAAATTTGGTATATTTCGTACCAACAGGAGGGTGATTCTGTGGGTGGACTCAGTTCCCTCTCCGGCCAAAAGCAAAATCTTGTCCGATATTAAAGTAAGTCTGGATATTTATACAGTTCAACTTTATTATTTCCATTTCCGATTTGTCTGTTTTTGCACATGTGTTAGTATGTCATAACGCAGGGGTGTCCAAACTACGGCCCGGGGGCCAAATGCAGCCCATTTTGAAGAATCGTCCCTCAGCAAATTAAAAAAATATAATGACTTAAGTATTATAAACTTCTGCTTGCCTTATATTGTACTTCTTAAATATATATGTTCAATAAGCCCAATTTTCAAATAAATGCAGTCAATTCAAGTTGAAAACATATAAAAAATCTAAGTTGATAAGAAAAAAGCCCAATAATGTATTTACATAACAACTTTGAAATACACCCTTCCTATTTCCTCTTATGATGAGCAATCTGAAGCTTCTGTTTTAGGGAATGAGCTGCCAACTAAATAAATGAAACCCTCTGGAGAGCTGGGATATAGGCTGTTTTTTTCTAACAGCATTTTCAAGTATCAGAAATAATTGACCTACATTGGATTGATTTTTCCAACTCATAACTGAACTTATGACGCAATATACCTCTAATGAGTGGCCCAGCCCTTCGTATATTTTTCCTGTATGTAGCCCTCGGTGAAAGAAGTTTG